CATCCCATATCACCATCCCACTTATCTCCACGGCCGCTGCCATGTCCTGATCCTAGCCAACATCACTTGCTCCTGGATCCTGCCCTCACCTCATAACTAGGCCCCTGGTTTCCACTCTTGTCCCCCTCGCCCAACTTTTTTCCACACAGTAGCAACAATAATTAAAAACACAAAAACCCAAAAGCAGCTGTAAACCAGATCATGTCCGTCTCCCATTTAAAACCCTTCAATGTATTTAGAATAGACTCTAACTACCCCCCACCCTGAGCTAAGAGGCCTGCACAATTAGCCTCACTGCCCCCACTGCCTGTGCACCACATCTCACGCCTATCTGCCCCTGGCCCACTGACCTCCAGCCATACTGACCTTTGAGTTCCTTGATCACACCAAGCTTATTCCTACTTTGGGGCTCTGTTGTTGTTGTTGTTTTAAGAAAATGTATGTATGTACATACTATCATTTATTTATGTATTTATTTATTTATTGGCAGCTGGCTAGTACAGGGATCCAAACCCTTGACCTTGGTGTTACAAGGCTACACTCTAACCAACTGAGCCAGTCTAAATTTACCATCCTAACCCATTTTTTTTTTGGGGGGGGAGCTGGCCTTTGTACTGGCTGTCCCCTCTGCATGGAATGCTCATCCTCTCATCTTGGCATGGCTGGTTCCTTTTTGTCATTCAGGCCTTGACTGAACACCCATATAAGGCAGATACTCAGTCATTCTCTTTCACCTCCTAATAGTCTTCTGCATCACTTTTATTCCTATCTGGCAGTTCCTTGCTCATTGTTCATTACTTCATGCCTTCGACAAACATTTATTGATCCCTTCTTGTGCCAGCCGGACTAGGCATGTGTTTATTCTCCCTGAATAATGTGTCTATCTGCACTGAAAGCCCATGAGGACAAGGACCTTACTATAGCCTCCAGGCCTGGCATGGAGGAGGCATTTGAAAAATATTTGATGTGCAGTATAAGAGCCACATGGTGATGTGTACTCAGGAAATCAAAATTGGCTGATACAACTTCTTGCTTAGGTTTCATGGCTTTGACGTGGCCAATATTCCAAAGTGGTCCAAGTGCTCCAATAAATCATTCTTTATCTGTATTTTTCCAGGCCAGCCACGACTCCCTCCCTGTTTGTGTATCCAGCCAGCATTTATTAAGGGCCTACTGTGTACAGGCCTATGCTTAGTGTCAGTGTCTGTCCTGTCTAGCTCACCCAGCTGCTGGAACTCAGCAGCCAGCCATAGACAGGCCAACAAGCTGTCCTGCCCTAGCTAAAGACCAACTCACCTTCACTAGAGGTCATCCATGGTAAACCAAGTGGCAGGTCTCCTTCCACCCCTGTAATCCCTTCTGTCTAGGTTTCCCAGATACCCTGGGTTTCACTACAACCCCCAGGGACAGCACTCAGAGAATTAGCCACACCCTGTCCCCTGGGGTGTGTGTGCCAGCCTCATTTCTCCAGCCCCACTTACAAGCAGTGTGTGTGCCTATTTGTCCCTGCCGTGTGTCCAGTCTGATTCCACCACAGGTTCCCATCATTAACAAGCCATCCAGTAGCCAAGAAGATGGACTGTGGGGTCCAGCCGGGCAAGGCTGCACCACACTGGCTCTGGAATTCACAAGCTCTAGGATCTTAGACCAGTCACTCCATCTCTTGGAACCTCAGTTTCCTCCTTTGTAAAACAAGGACTATAAAAGCACAGACTTTTTGGGTTGTTGTGGCAGGTCCCTGTAGTGCCTCCTGCTCCTTCCTGCTCTGTGGACCTGTGAGGTCTTACTAGCCCCAGCTCAGGGGAAAAGTGAAGAAAAAAGAAACAGCTGGGAAACAGCTGTCTTTGGGCAACATTTCTATGGCTAATCTCATTATCAGGCATTAGCAAAAGAAGGATGCAATTCAGATCAACAAACATACACAGTTCAAACAACAAATGTATTCTGGATTGGGCACCAGGGATACAGAGAAAAATCAGACATCATTATGAAGGAATGTAGTCAAAATGGGGGTGGGGGCAGATCTGTAAACAAAAGTACACAGCAGAGGCGTGCTCTGCCCTGTGTGCTGTTACCAGACAGGTGCATCAGGAATATAGACAATGAAGTTGTGCATTCCACTGGGGCTGGGGGTGATTTGGATAAAGGAGAAAGATAATGAGTTTGGCTCCCTCTGCTTCCCAAATGTTCTGTGCCAACCACTGTCCTTCTATTAACTGGACAAGTGAGCCAGAGGGGAGAGTATCATCTAAAAAGAAAGGCTAAATGGTGGGTTCACCAAAAACAAACAGCTCCCCCCACAAATGATCTTGGCAACTTCATGTTGTAATCTACGCAATGTGTATTGCCTTCTTTCTCCCTGATACAATATACCTTTTGCCCTGATAAGTGGCTCTCTGTAACCAGGGTAATAGCCCTAGCTCTCAGCCCTTAGGAGACATCAGGGAGGTTTCTCAGAAAAAGAACAAGATCTGTTGTTGCCCTGAGTCTCTTCTTTGTTGACACTTAATGTTAGCTCCCTAGCATCTCCCTGGTTCGCACCAGCTAAATGTCCACAGAGATGGCAAAGACAGCAGCCAGTCCCAGGGGAGTGGAGGAGCAACAGAATCCATGGCTTGGACTAACCAAGGAATAAGTGGCCAGAAGGCACTTCGCAGGGCAGCCTTCAACATCTGGCTGCAGCTTTCTGGCTCACTGGCCACATGTCCCCTCCCTGATGGGCCCTCCTCTGGCTTCTCTTTCTGCTGCACTTTAGCGACCAGGTGCTGGATCAGCAGTAGCCACAGCCGAGACAGAGACCTGAAGGCCTGGGGAGGCATCAACCTCATCTTCAAAGTTCCTAATGCAGCACTTTAGAGAAGAAAAAAAATAAACAATGATTCCTCTCTTGTTTTGAGTGACAGATGGTAGGTTGGAACTGTCTTTCTTATTCAGATCAGTGGGGTATGCTGGTTAAGGGCACTGACTCTGGAGCCAGACTGCTTAGATTTGACCCCAGCATTGCCCCTTAGCTGCAGGACCCTTATATATCATTCCACCTCTCTGTGCTTCCATTTCCTCATCTATAAATAAAGAATAAACTGCCTCATGGATAGCTGTCAGGATGAAATGAGGGGCAAGTACCTGGCACATGTTTTTATTTTGGCAAATCCCTGAGGAAGAACAGTTGACCCACATGGCCTAGAAAGGAGCTAGGTGAAGATACCCAGGCCTCGAATGGGTCCTAGTTGGATATTCCATTCCAGGCTCCCCAAGGAGCTATAGAGGTTTATTTTTGTTGCAGCAAAGGCACTTCAACAGTAGTGAAGACTCAGCCACCCTAAGCAGTGCTTGTCAAGCCAAACAGAGCAATCTTGGGTATTGCTCTGGTCTGATGCTGTCCCACTGTCCTGGCTGTACACAGCATCCTTTGGTGAACACTGTGCAAAACTTCACTGATAGGCCCTCCCTGTCAGAGTGGATCACATTTCTATGTAGGACCCTTAGGCACTCCCAGCCCCTGTGCTCACTCACTACCTCTGCCCTCACCAACTCTGCAGCTAATAGTTGTCACTGAGAGTTACAATATTACTGACAGTAAGGTCTATACATCATGAGAAGATTCAAAACTCATCCCTCCAGTCTCCTCATGTAGCTCCCAGCAGTCCAAGAAACAATAACAGCATCTAAAACTATGCAAAATTCACTTGAAAAATAATCTCCAAGCAACTTTTGAAAAAAGCCTCACTGCTCATATGGATGTGGAATGATAGGGAGAGACCAGTGGCTTCCAAATTTGCTTGCAACCTCCAAATCCATTGCTCAGGTTAAATTCACCCAGAAGCCCAGTACATAAAACTGATACAAACAGGGCTGCTCTGGTGGAAATGGTACCCGAGTGCCTGCTTAGCATCCTCTCTCCACTCCTTCGTCCCCCTGTGACCCCCAAAGCAACTCTAAGAAACTGCTAGGACTCCAAGAAGCACTCATGGAAAACCACTCTGGCCACCCTCCCTGGGTAGATATGGGAAACAAGTCGTACAGAAGTCATGCTCTGAACAGCACCTGAATACAAACCTAGTTTTCTGACTCCAGGCTGACACTTCTCACTCCACACTGCTAGGTCTAGATCTATGAAAAACTGCAATTTAAAGAAAGAAGGTTCATTTCTGATCACTTACAACTTAAGCATTTTAAAGGCCCCTGAACCAGCCAAGTAGGAAACAAAGACCAGCCCCACAGACTGGCAGAAAGAAGTTCTGAAATGAGTTGCAGAAGCACATCTGACAATTCCATACAGTTTCCGTCAGTTCCGTGGGATATAAACAGGTCTTGAAAGGCTTGGGCTGTGTGGCTGTGAAAGACCCTAGACCAGGCAGGCCAGGAGGTGAATGCTAATGAGCTATGGAAATAGCAATTACTTCCCCCGTGTCAGGCACTGTGCCAAGCTAAGGAGGATAAAGAGGTCTGAGATATTTTTAAAGTACTTTTACAGCAGAAAAACTTTCCTACAGACTCAATTATATAACTATCAGACTCCACCTCTGGGCTGAAATTATCCATGGCCTCAGAAGAAAACAAATTCATTTTTTCCTACATGAGGGTCACAGGTTTCTCCAGAGAAACTCAGCTGTATTGCCAATGGCCCAGGACAGCTACAAACCATCAACCCAGAGACCTTCGCAAGGGCAGTTTGGAGCCTGCTAGGGAAGAATACCAGCCAAGTGGAGGGCAGACGTCATGCTGCTGACCCAGCCATCATGCATGATGTTGTAAGGTCCAGAAAGGTCCACTGTAGGGGGCATCGGCCACCTCAGCCCCCTCACCACTCCCTTGTACCAAAATGGGGCTGGGGTCACTAAAGGAGTGAGGATGCCCAGGGGACACTTCATTAACTCAAAGTAACTCTGCCATTAGCAAAGCATAGATAGTCAGGGAAAGCCTGGGGCTTAAGGAATGAAGAACTTCACCAATGAAATGACAGCCAATATCAAAGAACAGACTTAGGAAGATTAACTTACAGCCCACGTTTTTGTCAGCCTGAAGATGGGAGCACTTTGTAATGCTGATACCACAGACATGAGAGAATGCAGGTTGTTGAGTTCTAGAAGTTTCTGAAAAAAGATATGGAATAGATTATTTTGCTGCTTTAAACAACAGAACAAAAACATGCTCAAGTGTTACCAAATGTCATATTTATAAAATTCAGTTACACTTAAAAATATCTCATGTAGAAAATAAAGCTCTAGGAAGTTCATAGAAACCATATGGTTTTTTTCCTCTCAAATTGTCGAAAGGTGAGTCTGCATCTAAAACATTTGCAAAATTTTATAAGCTGACTAGTCTGGCTGCTGGACAGAACAGTGGCTTGTGATAAGGTTTGATAATGTCCTTCATGTTCTCCTTTTAGACAAACTGAACACCATCCTAGCAGACTTCTTTAAACTAAAACCCTGGCTGTGCTAATGGTATTAATTTGGGTCTTCTATGACTACCTTAACATCCCAATGAGAAAGAGGCTGAGGAAAGATGTTATCACTCTGCATAATCCCTCTCACCTAGAAAGGCAATGCTCTGGGTTCCCAATCACTTGACCATGCTTCTTTGAACTAGTGAGAACATTTGGATTCAATTCAGTCTCAGACTTACCATGAAGGGCAACAGAATGAGACACGATTGAGTTTAAGTGCGGAAAAAAGTAATTGCTCTGTTCTTGGTTTTATGCTGAGGGAATCTTGTTCACAGGATTGGGGTCCCATTCTCATTCTCAGGAGTCAATGAAGTCAGGGTTAGCAAGCAGGCTCTATGGACTTGGTTCCAATCCCAGCTTCCACTACTTGAGTGTCCTTCAGCAAGTAACCTAATCCTTCTGAGCCTTGGTGTCCTCGTATTGAAAATGAGGAAGGTAATAATGGCACCCATGCTACATGAGACAGTCTGTGCCAACTGCCCAGACCAGTGTGCAGCCCCAGGTAAGCCCTCAGAAAGAAGTGGGTCTCGATCTTCGTTATCTGGAAGACTGGTCTCTTCCTTCCCCCATCACTTGTCTTAGCTACTTCCAAGCTCAGATGCCACTTCTTCTAATACACCTTTCCTGACCATGTTCCCAAATCTAAGAAGCCTGGGTTTCTGCCTCTGTGTCCCTGCAGCAGCCTGTGCACGTCTTCAGCACACTGGATTGCACCTGCTTTTTACTAGACTCTCTCACCCTGGACCACGTTCCCTGAGAGCAGGGAAAGTATAGCACCCAGCACATGGTAGGGCCTAGTAAAATGGAGAAATAAATGAAAAGCCCTTATGCTTAGTCCTCACAGCTCTGTTACTACTTGGAAGTTTCTCCATTACCACACAAGTTAATACTTCATTTCATATATCTGGTAACATTCTCTAATTGTTCCCTGTGTGTAGGAATAAATTCTCTGGGTGACCTGAATTTCATTCTACATCAGAATTGCTATGACTGTCACAGAATTTCTTTTTAGAGTTGAAAGGCCTTTGGGAGACTATCTAACCCACCCCTTTCAATTTGTAGATGGGAAAACCAAGGCCCAGAGAAAGAAAGGAGCTTGCACAAGGATATGCCCAAAGCATATTGCCAGCATGACAATCCACCATAAGGAAAATGGCAGAGATTAAGGAGGGATCATTTTAGATTCCTTGGTTGGGGACCATAAACTCATTTCCACACTGAAAGCCCCAAGAGGGCTGGAACCACATCCCGCTTTCCTATGGCCCAGCACAGAACTACCTGATAGCAACAAGTACTGTATCATTAAGCCAGCACTGGTTCCAAGGACTTCAGGAGAATGCATAGGAAATAAACATGGCCATTGCCCCTAACATATTCATAGACTGATGCACTTAACCTTCCCATGAAGGGCAGCATAGCAGCTCCCCTGAAGGCACAGAAACATGGCTTCAAGTCCTGCTCTGCCATTGACTAACTAGTATGGGGCTTTGAGAGTGGACACTTCACCTCTCTAAGCCTCTCCTTTCCTCCTCTACAAATGGGATAATAATAATGTGAGCACTGAATACGATCATGCCAGTAAAGCAGCTGCTATGGTGCCTGGCTCGTGAGGGGCTTCAGTAAAAGGGTAGCTTTCCTACGATCTGGGTGGGAAGGTAACACACGCACACACAAAGCAAGGAGTGAACCAGACAGACAATGCTGCTGCTGAGAGTCAAGCAATCCTGGGCGGCTGGGAGCAGTGTATGGGGAGGATCTGCCCGGGCAGGGGAGAGTGGTTCAGGAAGACCCATGCGATGACACAGCCTGGCTAGGAAGAGATGAGGGAAGAGGAGTGGAAAGGTGGTATCCAATAAGCAGCAAGGACAAAACCTATCAGACCAGGGGGCAGGAAGTGGGTGTGGGGGGCAGCAGGGTCATCTGGCCCAGGCCTTAAACTCAGAATGAGATGGGGTGGGCTCTGCTAACTGGTGACAAAATTGTGCAGGATGTGATGGCATCATACGCATTGATGCTAACTAAAACCCATCAACCCCCAGTACTGGCTAAATCTAAAGTAGGAGAATGAATGGATTCCAGGGGTAGCTGCTGGGGCCTCGTGAAGAGACTGGGAAAACCCAGGTAAGGAGAATGGTTGGCTGCCTAAATTATGGGGTGGAGGGGCATGCTGTCAATGCACACAGAGGGTGCTGGGGAGCCAACGGGCAGCCAGGCAGGTCTTAACAACTGGCTCTGCCTGGGGAGGTCAGGCTACAGCCCCCATTTGAACCCTACCCAGCAGGCCTAGAGCAAAGCAGCTCCTAAAGCACTGAGGAAATACATTTTTGAGACAAAAACATAAAAAAGGGAAAGAAAGGAAAAAATAATAAAACAAGCTTACCTTGGCTATTTTCACAAAATGGCTCAGGATTTCTGCCCTTATTTTTAAAGTCTGTGCTGTTAGAATTTCTCGTACAACCCAAAAACTGACCTGTAGAGTCAAATACACACACATACACACATACACACCAGAAAATTGTTAAATGCCGGACCACCCATGTCACCCTCGCCCACCACTGTTATGAGATTTCCAAGAAGTCAGGAAAATGGGAGAGCACATTCTCGGGTTGCATGAGGTCAAGAGTTCCTTAACAGCACCCAGTCCCGCAAATGGGTCCCGTGTTCTCAGCACTCCCTCTCCAACACACACAGTGGTGCTGAGAGAAATAAGTGCTTTCCTCATCCATCAGGGGAGAATAGGGCCTCTGTGACCTATGAGTCTCCCTGAAGGTGCTGCAGGGAAATCTGAGATGAATCAGACCAGATTCCTGCTCAGAAGGATTCCAATTGTGGGAAGATGGATGATGGGTGGGTGCATGGATGGACAGATGGACAAATGACCAGACAAAGGAATATATATATTGGCAGTACCACCCATGAGGTCCATATCCCCAGCCAGACCCAAGACAAGGAGGATTCAGCAATATTTGCACAACTATAATAAATTTAATTTTCAAGGAGAGGTTTGTCCAATAATTTAAACCATACAAAAGCATCTTTCGAAGTTCCATAAAGTAATGTAGGTTAAGGGGCACGTTTTTCTAGAGACAGCATATGCCAACAGGGTATGCTGGTAGCTTTGGTTCAAAACCTCATTCATGCTTGACCTCTCACATACATCAACAGCCCTAGCCCCTTAATCCACTGTGAGAACAAGAAAGTCATCCACCAGTGTAGAGTTGACTCACATGATATTTCAATGAAACACAGAAGAGATTCATGCCAAGAAATTCTGGGAAGTAGTTAGCTTTTCTTGTTTATGTTTCTCTACTATAACAACAGTCCTATGTGAGACACAGATGCCCAAGACTGCAATGATAGCACTGCAAAGAAAGGTGGAGTGTGGGGGCTAAGTATGGGGGACATGCAAAATTATAAGGAAGGTGAGACATCTAAAACCCCTAAATTTTATAAGGGAAAAAATAGTTAAGGATATTCAAAATCCAGAATTAACAAAGTAAGCTTAGTGGTGCAATAAAATATATTCCCGTTACTGAAATACAAAAGAGAAAATAAGGAAAGAGAAGCCAAGTAGCAACAATTTGCTTTTTACATTAAGCAGGAGTATTACAGAAATGTTTTCTCAGTGTAATTATTTGTGGGTTGCCTCCAGGACATGCCTGGGTTTCCATAAAATCATTTTTTCCAAGGAATTGCCTAAAAGTAAGTACAGACTCAAATGCCACTTACGGAAGAAAGTTTTTCTGTATACCAAATGGGATGCCCATAAACCATATATACATACTTATACACACACACACACACACATATTTATATATATATATATTGGGGGGTGGCTGGCTAGTACAAAGGACCATATATTTAATACATGGACATTCTTATGCCATATAATCCCAAGTGTGACAGTTTACATGCGTAATTTAACAGATTCCTGCATGCCCAAACAATCACACATATTTATGGCAGTGTGCAGAGGCAACTCTGAGTTGACAATTCAATTCAGTGGAGTTCCACGAAGCCCCTTCTGCATGCAGGCTCTAGGCACTGGGAGTCCAGACCTCATCTAATATGCAGGTGACCAAAGGAAGAGGCAGAATCCTCCATAAATCACTGGAATCGAAGGCAGCTGTGACTGTGGCCATTGAAGACATTCAAATGAAGTGAACTGGAGTATGGGGGAGGTAGTGATGACGGAAGGCTGCTTGGAGAGGATAGGCCTTGACAGATGGGTAGACTAAACATGTAAGACAGGGTGGAGGTATGACTGTACCCAGTATGACCAGTGAAAGCTGAGCAGGCTGACAGGACGGGAGCTGCAGGAGCTCTGTGGGGTGGTGGTGGTGAGAGAGAATGAAACTGGAGAGGGAAGGGAAGACCACATGGTGGGAGCCTGGAGCAACAACGTGAGAAGAAGTTGCTAAGAGGCTATTCTACAATGAGGAGCTTCAGAGGCTTCTGGGCAGTGATAGGTTGGATCCTTTTGTAAGGCAGGGGCACCCATTGGAAAGCTGATGCAATGGTCCTGGTGAGAGATGTGGAGGCCTGAGATAGGGCTATGTTGAAGGAAATGGAGAAAAGGGGCAGATAAGAAAGGCATTACAAAAACAGAATAAGCATAGTTTAAAAATTTTTTATTCTCTTTTCTAACTACAAATTTTAACAGCAAATTAATGCAGAAAACAAAGGAAACAGAGATAAGTGCAAAAGACAGAAATCGTTTGCAAGCTCAGTCTTTCATACAAACCACCACAATAAACGTTCTGGTATGTGTCCTTCTAGTCTTTTTTTCCCATAAATGGACATATGTTTTCCTTTTTCAATTAAATTGGTATGTAGTAATCATATATCATAAGAATTTTTATAAGTGAATATTGTTCTGCAATGCAATATTTAGCAGCTTCTAAGTATTTCATCACAGAGATGCATCATCATTTTCTTAAGTAACCCCTATTGTTGGAAAGGTTATTTCTAATTATTTTGTTGTAATAAACAATGCTGTGGTGAACATCTTTATACAAATGTCTTTGTACACTTTTTATTAAAGTCCTAGGATAATTTTCTGTAAGATGGAGTGAATAAAAGTTTGTGTACTTATTTTCAAAAATATATATTAAAAAATTTGGCCTCCAAAAGGTCTATTTGTTTATCCATTGACAGGTTTAAGCAGATCTATGTTCCCATACACAGGCCAATGCCAGTTATTACAATTTTTTTTCTTTATTAACCCAATGGACAAAATGGTATCTCACTGTTTCTATTTTGCATTTCTTTCATGACTATTCAGTTAACTTTTTTGCATTTTTTTTTCAGTTAACGTTTTTTGTTCCAAATATTTATGGACCAACCATTTGTACTATTTGCCTTGTGAATTACCTGCTAAGGTCCTTCACCCATCTTTCTATCAAGACATCTGTCCTCTTATTAATTGATAAAAGCTCTTTGTATATTAAAGGAAACACATTTTGTGAGTTATATATTGTACCAAGAGTGTGGAGAAACTGGTACTTTTATACACTGTTTGGGGGAGTAGAAGTTTATTTTATGCTTTGGGCTATAATCCAAGACAATGTTAGTTATTTTGTTGCACAAATTGTTCCAGTTTTGGCTATTGAGAGCTCTTTTAGTTTGCTCCTACAGCTCCTTGACATACCCCCAGTATTATTTTGGTTTGTTAGTATAAGCATTTCCTTTTTTTTTTTTTTTTTAATTTTTATTTTGTCAATATACAATGTAGTTGATTATTATGGCCCATCACCGAAACCTCCCTCCCTCTTCCCTCTCCCCCCTCCCACCCAACAATGTCCTTTCCGTTTGCTTGTTGTAACAACTTCAAAAAATTGTAGTTGTTATATCTTCTTCCACCCCCCCCCCGGTTTTTTTTTTTGCGTGTATGTGGGTGAATTAATTTGTTTGTTTTTTAGCTCCCACCAATGAGTGAGAACATGTGGAATTTCTTTTTCTCTGTCTGACTCGTTTCACTCAATATTATTCTCTCAAGGTCCATCCATGTTGTTGCAAATGGCAGTATTTCATTCGTTTTTATAGCTGAGTAGTATTCCATTGTGTAGATATACCACATTTTCCGTATCCACTAATCCGATGATGGACATTTGGGCTGAAGCACTTCCTTACTTTTTGGCACTACAATATACCACAGGCTTATCTTGCGCATTTCTTGCCCCAGTCCTAAAATCAGTCATTTCTCAAAGAAACCTTGGTTCCTTTTATAAGATCATGGTATTAGAAATCAAGATTAGGGGCCGGCCCGGTGGCGCACTTGGTAGAGTGCGGCGCTTGTGAGCATGGCGGCGCTCCCGCCGAGGGTTCGGATCCCATATAGAGACCGGTCCGCTCACTGGTTGAGCGCGGTGCAGGCGCGACACTGAGGGTTGCGATCCCGTTGCCGGTCGCGGTACGGGCGCAACACTGAGGGTTGCGATCCCGTTACCGGTCACGAAAAAAAGACAAAAAGGAAAAAAAAAAAAAAGAAATGAAAATTAGCCCTAAACAGGTGCTAGATGTGCTTACTGCTACTGGGATAGCCCTGTTTCTGGGTCCTCTCAGCTGGCAGAACAAGGAGAACAAGGAAACGTATATATATGTGTGTGTGTATACTAACACTATGTGTGTGTGTGTGTACACATATATACACATATCTATAAATATTTCCATATGTAACCATCTGTACCTATATTAAACTAAAACGTGAGTTCATACTGATGTCTCCAACTCTAATCCATTACCACGTGGATCATTCTAGCCTTGTCCCCTTGTTTGTCTATAATTTCCCACTCCAACAGTGAGAAACCTGGCTCCCAACCATCCACTTCCTTAATTGTTTAGTTCCAATATACACACATAGTGGTTTCAGAAATGCTACCCATGCCCCTTGGGAAACAACCTTATCAAATAGAATAATACAGCACTATGCATAGCTCCTTTAGTCTTTAGTCTTACAAGCTCTACTCTGCTCCAAAGTTACTTAGGTCAGCAACTTTTTCCCTCACCCTCTTCAGTGAGTTTGTTTCACATATTTATAATAGTTCAATTTTTTGTTACATTCTGCATTCCATAGGACCCCTCTATCTGCAAGTTGAATTTTTTTTTTTTTTTTTTTTTTTTTTGGTGGCTAGCCCATAAGGGTATCCAAACCCTTGACCTTGGTGTTATCGGCAGCACACTCTAACCTCCAAGCTGAATTTTTAAGAATTTTTATATATTAAGGTTTCCTCTTAGTGCTATAAAGTTCTATGGGTTTTCACAGATGCATTGTGTCATGTGTCCATCATTACAGTATCATACAGAATAGTTTTACCACCTTAAAAAAATCCCGTGTGCTTCACCTATTCAACCCTCTCCCCTTCCCAAACCACTGACAATGTTTTTACAACCATGTCATTAAAGTTTGACTGGTCAGCTGCTTCCTCCAATCACAGGCAGGACACTGCAGCTGGGCAAAAGGTTTGGTTC